GGAGATTTTTATACTTCGTGTTTGAGTCTTGTACAATATTGTTGCGAGCGTGTGCGCGCCGTGCGCATGCGTAGGAGATGCGGCGATGGCCGCGGACGCATAGATACAGTCGATGTAGTGAAATCAGTAGCATCTGAGGCAAGGTAGTGTAGAAATTATAATTGTTCCACTATATATATGATAAATATAAAATATAATAATAGAGTCACGATTTCTCTATCGAATACTGTACAGTGAAAAGTATTGACGTTTGCTAAGAATCTACACTGATAATCTGTAAAGAACAACGTGAATTTATCTGCCCCGCCCCACTCCACCCCGAGTTTCTCTATATAAGGAATGAAGTTATTGTCGCGGTGATATTCTGTTTTTGTGTCCAACATGCTCCACGTCTGTTGCCGTGAAGTGTTTTTTTCTTTCATCGTTGTCGTATTAAACTGATCTCCAATGTTTACATCTCGTGTTTGCCTATGTTTTTCCGCATGCTCTTATGCATAACGGCATGTTACATCCAATTCCATGGCATTCCATTGGGCAATGGTAATTTAGACGGATGGATGGTGGAATGAGATGCATTGCATGGATGCATGGATAGGATAGATAGTTAGATTTTTGGCGGGTATTTTTTCTTTCAACCAAGCGGCGTCAACTCAGAGCTGAGGTAACCACTGATTTTCGCTCGGGCCAACGCGGCGTATCCGCGCTAGTACAACCTATCACGCCTCGTCAATCTGTGCACGTATTTTATGGACGGAAGCTAGACAGGACGCCGGCGCGTCGTTAGAAGAACGATTTCCGGCGCAGGTTTTTGCGAGTTCTGGGACTAGTCTAGACGAAAAGCGAGGGTAAAAAACTAACACACGGCGAACATAATGCGAGGGAGGAAATTTGTCGCCGAGTATAGCGTGGGCTCTTTATAATTCTTTATATTATTCTATTCTCGTTCTGTGCGACGTCATATAACTTGAAACATTGTTTCTTGCCTGATGCATGCTACAACTCGGATAAAGCAACGAAGAACGTGGTTCGCTATGTATATTAATCCGGAAAGAATTTACGCAAACGTGACTGCCTTATATAAACATGTGGCACGGCCTTTCTAAGATCATGAACCACACTCTTGGAAACATTGAGGCAATTACGTATATGATTCGGCATCGTGATACACTGATTCCGCGCACTATCAAATTGTGTGTGCGTAAACAGTATCCTCGTTTAATTACATTAACCTGTCACTGAATTCTCTACGCCCTTAATCTGTCCTGATCATAGTCTGTCATATTACGCCGTAGTTACGTTCAGTTAATATTGAATTTACCTGGGCCATGTTACCATACCAGCATGGGTACCATCGTACCGTCTGTTATACTACTAGTTTACTCCGCAATGCTTACTACGTTCTTAGTGCCTGTACACAGGCAATCAAACTGTCATCCGTACTAACTAAAAAATAACGACGATGTAACATAAATGTCACGAACATATCAAATCTATTCATATTTAATCCCAAAGCCACACAATACTGCCAGTCACTATTTACTGTAATTGATAATATAGTACATAGCCATACAGTGGGCATATACATTATCTTATTCCGTTATATTTCATATGGCATATAAAGCATGACGCACATAGCAAACAAGGAACCAACGATTTACCCAACCAAGACTACTTGTTACTTTCATAGTACAAATAGGCACTAGGAAACACTGAAGGACTTACACAGACTGCAAGACTATTAGCTTGGTACAGTTACTATAGAAACGCCTTACAAAGAACATGCGATCAAAGAGCTTAAATATTACAATGTATTATTAGCTATTGAGATGATAAGGAATGCATGAACATATATAGATGACAGTATATATATATATATCAGGAGTGTATGAAGTAGTGATAATCCCTATTATACACTCCTGATATATATATATATATATATAATATATAGTATATTATGACACTTTCTATTATAATAGATAATAAATATTAATTATTATATAGATAAATAGATCGATAGCTAGAGTAGATAACACAGATAGATTAGTAGTAGCATTAGATAGATAGATAGATTAGTTACGACAGACAGATAGATAATATATAAGATAGATAGATAGAGGAGTAGATAGATAGAATAGATACAGATAGATAGTATAGCCAAGGTTGGGATAAGATTAGATAGATATACAGATAGATAGATGATAGATAGATTAGGATCGACTAGAATAGATGATATGATAGATAGATAGATAGAATAGATAGGATAAGATAGATAGATAGAAGATAGGATAGATTAGATAGAGTAGGATGATAGATTGATAGATAGATAGATTACATAGATACATGTGGAAGCATAGATAATAGATACTGATAGATAGATAATGGAGATAGAATAGATTAGCATAGTCTATATTATGATACTCCTGATACCGTATAGGGTTTACAGAGTTAATTAGTAGACTAAAGTTTGAATACAGACGATGTTGAAAGACTTCACGTTACCAACATTTATCGGGATTTCGTTAGGATCAGAGAACACACCGCCGCGCTAACTCGTGCTTTCGAGAGAAAAAAGGGGTGGCAGCTTTTTGTTCTACGTGAAAACTAGACGCGCCGTGGATAGCGGCTGCTGGTGTTTGCCGGTGCGTTGGTAGCGCAAGCATGCAGGACGACCCCCGCCTCTCCCCACTTCACACACAACTACAGCCACACAGTCCGATATAATAATAGCGAGGTAATTATGGTTGGGATGGGGGAGGGAGTGGGGGCCGGTGCGCTTGCGTCACCGGAGTACCGCCCAGAAACTAAATTGAAATGTGATCGGATTCGAAGAAATGAGCGATATTATGATAATGCTATTCTCTGCTGGTGCGCGCGCGCGCGTTTGTGCGTGTGTGCGCGCGCGTGTGTGTGCGTGTGTGAGTGTGTGTGTGCGTGTGTGTGTGCGCGCGCGCGCGTTTGTGCGTGTGTGCGCGCGCGTGTGTGTGCGTGTGTGAGTGTGTGTGTGCGTGTGTGTGTGCGCGCGCGCGCGTGTGTGCGTGTGTGCGCGCGCGCGTGTGTGTCGCTCTACCTCTGTTTTACTTTCCTCTCTATTCCCTCCTCCCCTTCTCTCTCTATCTTCCACCTCCCCATCTATCTCTCTCTTTCTTTCTATCTTTGCACGCCCCTCCTCGCCGTCTCCTTCTATCAGCATTATATGATTATATTTACGGTCGCACAGTTCTAACCTTTCACCCGCCGCTCCCTCCGAGTGGCGAGGCGGCAGCGGCCGACCGTCGCCGCAGAGATCTCGTAACCAAATCCGCTCCGAACTTCAGAGTGATTTGTACAGTTGTGCAGCGCAGAGAAAAAAAACAGCCCCGCTGTGATCTCGGGCTAGAAAACACTCCTCGCGTATGTAGAAGAACCCGATAGGAGCGTATCAGGAGTAGATAATAACACACACATGTGTTATTATCTACTCTTGAGCGTATCAAGCCGAGTCTGGTCGTTGCTGCCAACTGCGAACAGCACCCAGCGAGCAGCGGCGTGTTGTGAGCTTTCATTAACTTGTCTTAGCAAGGTTTTTGGAAGGAGGTTCAAAACGATATGGCGTTTATTTACCTAACTTTTACAATTGCCGTCGTCGTTTCGCGTACGAAAAAAAGCGTTCGAAAAAGTTGCCGACTGTGCCTAAAAGCCAAGCGTACGGCGGCGATTTTCACAAACACCTAATTACGTTGTTAGTTATAGCAGACCTTTTTTGATTATATATGGTCGTTCGGGATTAGCAAGAATAACAGCCGGTTAGGCTGGGTAGCTCTTTTAATTTTCGCTCCGAAAGTAATCAATTTGAATACGGCACGCGCGCGACACCTGTTGCTCGGTTCGAACAAGACGCAGACGATTGTAGGTGGCGCTACCGTCCAATGATACTCGCCTGTTACATACTACGGTTGGCTTCCTTCGGTTATCCTCTCGGTTATTTATTATTTCGATTTTGTCCTCGTTTTTATTATTGTCGTCGTTGTTGTTAGTGGTGCTCCATGGAAAATTGAAAATAAATAGCAATATGCTTGATACGAAAACATTGGCTCTAAGAAGTTGTTTTTTTTAGAAAATTAGGATTTCCCGATTTTTCCACCGGATGTATTTTTTACACATTATTATAACTACATGTAATTTTATGATTACAGTCGCAGGAGCGCATCACGTCAATATCAAATATGCATTAATTCATTGAAATTAATCTCTAAAATATTTTCCAGAATACTGGACATACAAATGTCAACTGTAAACATCACAGATCTATGTATGAACGTGTATCTGTTTATATGCAGCACTGTGTGCAATATTAGTTGCAGTGCAGTTATGCATTTTTTAAATCAATTAGAGAAAAACTAATCACAACTGTTTTTAACGTCGGGCAACATATAGTGTATCATAAATTCCACCTATTGCCAGTTCACGTGCATAATACACTGTACATGGCACATCTCAAACAACAACGATTTTTTTTACAACGCGAACATATTTGGTTATAGCGTATCGTTGCGTTATCGTTTGCGTTATCGTAGGACAGACATGATGACAAAGATGCCGAGAGAAAGGCGTAGCAGCAACGCGAAAATGCTCGCTGCCAATTGTTTTTGCAAATTGCGTTCAGTCCAACTTCTATTACGGTAGTTGAGCGATATACAAAACGAGAAAACAAGCAGAAATTTTGATCAAAGAACCATCGTACAAATCATGATGAAGAAATCTATCACACACGATGATGAAGCTCTTGACATAACACATACATGGTTGCACGTAAACAAATTGCCACAGTACATTTCGTGCAGACAGATGTTAATAAATAATAGACATATAAAGTATCAGGCGTTCCCAGTTAAAACATCGTACGATAAGCTCTCAATACGCGAATCCTTGACATTTGAAACCATGTGCGACGGACGTTTACGAAAAGGTGAATTTACTAGTCTTACACATGCCGTTATCAGATTTAGCAAAACGGTATTTCAACTCTATTCAACGCTTATTCACTTATTTATTATTACATTCGCTTATTTTATTTCATTGCCATTTCAATGGTGATAGTTAATAGATTCAATATTTGAATGGATATGGTGAGATACAATATTTAGTTGAATGGACATGGTTTGCAAGCAGTTAATCGACTCGAACATAACTATGATTTATTACATGCGATTTCGAACTAGTTTTTCTAACAAATTATGCTAAACATGCACGATATTTCTTCTAAAACTTTATTTACAATAGTACGAGCAAGAATATTTAATTATTAATGCATTCATATTACCCTAAACGCAACGCCATCTATGCAGCATTTTATGCTGATATTAAAACGGGCAATCATACATTTTTTTACCCTGTCTATGACAGCTATATCTCTGCTTTTTACAACCCAACCGGTTGCCCAAGCAGATGTCTAAATACGCTTTTAGAAAAATCCGAATAATTAACACGGTAATTGAACATGATTGCGGCGGCTGCTAATGATTTAATGCTGCGGCTGCAGAACTGAGCAACTGATTGGGATAATCAAGTCATTAAAAGATGAAGACTCACAATTTTCAGACGCGTCAGTCATTGGGAAAGTACGGCAGCATTTGTACGTGTGCATCAGTGCGCGATACAACGGTTATAACCTTATTCGACAGCAAAAGAAAGACGAATCCCATCTCGAAACGAGACGAATTTCGGCACGTGCGTTGAGAAAACACAGGCAGACGGACACCTGCCTGATTGAGTCCGCAATCTTGCTGAACCACAAAGAGAACTTACGTGCAAAAACCAACTCGAAAATTTCCCGCGCGTGCTGCACTCCGTCCGTGCTCCTTCGAATCGATTAAAAAAGTTACACATGATCTCATCATGTGACACTTAGAAACAGAGAGCGCAAATAAAAAAACTACTTTCAGAGTTCGAGGAATCGAATGAGCTTGAACATTCACCACCCTGACACCATCCAAGCTGTACGCAGAGACGCATACATGGTCTACCATCCCTGTACAGGCAATGCTGTGAGGCCAGTGCAGCAAAGCAGCTTACCACGAAACCAAACCAACTGAGATTTAACTCCATCTTAACACCACGCCCGTACTTCGTCCGTCGTGCAACCCCGTGAAGATTGCACCCGATATCGCAGTATCGCTTTTGCCGGTCGATTCGCGACTCATCTCGCGTCGTTGCCGCAATGTTTCAGTGCTGCCACCTGCTGGCCTCCTATCATTTCTTCGCATCGGCCGCGACTGTCTTGTAGCGCTGCGCGAATAGTTCAAACACGTACTTCAGCACAGCCGCAGACGCCTCCTCGTGTACTGGAGTACCTAGAGAAACGGAAAGACGTACACCTTAATGCGCAAGCATGAACAAGAAGCATGCATGCCCATACGTGCTAGCTATATGCAACCATATACATCTAACAAATGAATATGTGTACACTATTAGTTTACTCTCATGGTAAAAATTTTTCTCAAGTTTCCCCGAAAACTAACCGTGCAGCTAACATGAACCCTCTTTAAGCAAACATAATTTAAAAGCACAGCCTCCTCATGTACTGGAGTGCCTAGAAGAAACGGAAAGGTGTACGCGGTAATGCTCAAGCATTAACACGAAGCATGCATCCCCATACGTAGCTAGCTATATGCAACCATACATCTAACAAATGAATATAATAAATGTAACAAAATAATGTACACCATTGGTTTACTCCCATGCTCACATTTTTTCCCGAGTTTTCTGTGGAAGAACTATGCTTTTTCCTTTTTCCTATGCTAAAAATTAGCACTGCTACTCGTTTCTCGAAAGCAACTTGTGCAGCTGACGTGAACCTTTTTGAAGCCAACATTACAACATAGTACATGAAGCTCCTCTTTCCGGTTAGCTTAAATTGACTACGTCACGAATATTCTATGGTGTATTTAGTAAAATTTTGTTGCCATTTTTTTTTACATTAAAAGTAAGTACTAATGAGACTAAATGTATCGTCAAATTCTTACCTGATAAGATTGTTTCTCAACTAGTTAAAAATCCAAAAAACATGAACGATTTGATATTATGATCCTGACCTTAATTGCTTGCTATCTATGATTGATGATATATATGATCTATGAATCTATCTATTGCTTGCTTAATTGCTTACTATGTATGAGTCACGAGTGTATGTTTACATCGAACAATATAGTAAAATAGGAAGTATAATGCAGCAATTTATCCATAAAACTTACATTTTTACTTATTAAACAGAATTACTTACATTTTGTGAAAAAGTGGAAATGTTTTTTTTATTTTTACTATTTACGGTGACATGATCACTTTAAACACATTCAGCCATGTCAGCATGTGCTGCCATCTCTGGTGAATAACAACAACAGTACAGGCGCTCCCCCGACTTACAAACGTTCAAGTTACGAACTTTCAGAGATACGAACAAACGACATCTACATCTACAGGATATGTTATAGAACATTTAAAACCAATCCCTGTTCCTCAGACTTTAATATTAAGTAATACTGCTTAAGGCTGGTAAAATATACCGAGTATTATTGGGGTATAGCTGTACTGTACAAATTTTTTTTTTTACAATGCTGTGCGCAGTGCTGTGGATTCAGTATTTATAAGAGTAATGTTGGACTTCCGAACATGTGGACTTACAAACAAACCCCAGGAACCTATCCTGTTCGTAAGTATGGGAGCTGCATCCTAATTGACAAATGCCACTATGATGCAGCTCAACCATATTCGTGTCAGCGTACGAAATTTTAAAACTCGGGAAGGAATCTACCTATCGCTAAGCGATACGCCAGTTACTAATCGGAGTAAAGTGCAAAATGAGTGAAAAACGCATAGGAAAAACCACAAAACTCCGCATAAACTGTGCTAGTGTGATACAGGCGTACATCGCAGCACCACAGGGCAACGGCCCAATCATGGTTAAGCACCCCCGGATTAGTTTAGCGCATTTGCGAAAATGAGGGCCGGGGTCCCAAACTATGATTGATCAAGGGCGTCTATACGTACCAGTTGAGAAGGTGGGGAAATCTTTCTCTCCATTCTTGAGCGGTAGCGGAGTGTTCACGGGCTGCGTATCCCGTACCCAGTTTTTGCCGACCTGCCGGAATAAAGTGCGCAGAGCTGCATTTGCCGGGCAGCGCCATCTAGCGACGAAATCGTCGCGTTTCGGCGATTTTTACAATTTCGGTTTTGCGTGTCTCACCTACCGTTTCTAACCATGTCATCTGCTTCTTCGGCGCCGGGTTGACTTTGAAGGAATGCACTGAGTCAGTGAGAGCTATTGCAAACACCTTTTTCTTGACGGCCTTCCACCGGTGTAACACCTGCAGGAGATAACGAGCAGCCTAACGATCAGCACCCATTATGTCAGCGGTGAATAACGACAATCTCGACAAATAATGACATTTGTTATATTCACCCCCGATTATGTGCAACCGTAATATCAATGCGCAGTCAGAGCGAAAACGTTGAAGAGGACTCAACCAATTCCGTGAAGGAATGCGTTAAAAGAACCCGAAAGCTTTAATAAATCTCTTTTTTCTCTCATCGACTTCTTCATCTTGTCTTGGCCATTTTATCGTCGAATTATTTACGAAAGCTACCGATATACCGAGCAAAACTGGTTTGCAGTCTATTAGTACTGTTAGCACTCACTAGATGGCAGCACCAGAAATTTAATAAAAATAATGCTTATTGCATATTTATGTGACGCCTGGATATAGAACATCGATCGCCGCAAAAACTTACATCCGAATCTCAGCGGAATGTACATACAGTATGAAGGACACGCATCGTAACCGGCGACGGCGTAACAATCATAAAAACCCCTCCAGGCCACGCGTCTGCAAAACGCAGCTCCGCACGCACCTGCACTCGCACGCACCGTGTCGGCCCTACGGCACCCTTACAACCGCATCTCCCACCCCACTACCACCACGCTCAGCGTTAAAGTCCGAACGACGTAGTCTGCGCATGGTTGGCCATCGTACCCAGAAATAAATATTTTTACCGCGGTGGAAATTATTTTTAGCGCCGTTAAATTATCCGTAACAAGGCCTCTAATTGGGTAAAAATGTCATAATGTAACCGCGGTTGAATTATTTCTACCGTGGCAAAAATCATTCATCTGCAGTTGAATTACTTGTATTACGGCCACTGATTGGGTAAGTAAAAGGGCTATAATTTAACCACGGTAAAAATACTTATTTCTGAATCTGGTCAATCAGAGCGACTAAACCTGTCGCCATGACGATGACGAGCATTTCCGCGGCAACGGGTTTGCACGCACACGTACCAGATGCACGGTGGCGACGCCGCCGTAGCTGTGAGCGACGATCGCGACGTGTTTGGCGCGGCACCGCTCCACGACGTGGTCCCACACGTACAGCAGGTGCTCCTCCGGACTGCCGCTCACCTGCCAATGACACAAAGAGAAAACCCCCGGGGAGGGTCAGCGTACGGAGTCACGACGCCATTAGGAAATCAGTAGGAATCACGAAGCCATTCGCGATGGAAAGAGAAAGAAAGGAAAAGAGAAAGGAGAACCAGCGTGCGGAGTGAGTGACAATGGCGTTCCCCACGCCGCTTTTTAATAAATAATGTTATAAATTTATGTTAGATTATCTAACGTTTAATAAATATTATTCGTAATGAATTAATGCTGCAGGACGACGGTTAATAAGTTAACGAGTACGATGGTAGGTAGGCCAACGGAAAGAGAAAACCCCCGGAGAGTCAGCGTGCGAAGTGCCGAAGCCATTCGTTTTCTCGCCGATGATAACACGTTTAATAAATATTATTCATAATGAATTAATGCTGCAGGACGACGGTTAATGCGGTAACGAGTACATTAACGATTATGAGTACGATGGTACGATGGTTGAAATGCCTATAACGCGGTGATAACGATGTGCATGCTCTTAGAACGATAACACGCTCGTAATGATGCTACACATTGTCATAAAATACTATCATGTTTGCAATAATGACACTCACTCGCCTAAAATCAGGCATGCCAACTTATTTGCCTACATCTTGAACCCTTAGCTCGCATCAACAATAAAACGAACATATTTGCCTGAATGTCGAGCACTCAGAGCATGCCGATAATAATCCCAGTTTATTTACCTAAATCTAGTAAACCTTAGCACATGCCAATGATAAATCCCATTTATTTGCCTAAATATCAAACACACTGTAGATGCCGATAACAAAACCGGGTTATTTGCACAAATCTCGAAACCCCCTGGCACATTCACGGATCGTCGATTGCCGGTTGCGTACGTTCACAAGTGACTTACGAAAACTCGGCACCCAGCAAACTCTCCCTCATGAATTCCCGCCCCGCGCACTCGCGACTCTTCAGGGGAACAACGCCGCAAGCCATGGAACAGCGATTTCGCAGCACCGACTTTCATAAACTCCAGAAACATCCATGAATTCCATGAACATCCATGAATGCCATGAACATCCATGAACTTTATGAACATCCATGAACATTCATGAACGCCATGAAGATCCATGAACTCGACCTGGCTCGCAAAATCAACTCGCGCTTAACCACCTGTGGCAAACTATCTCTGCGTTATACGCGACCTCGGACGTTCGGAGTCGCCACGAGAGGGCGCCTCTGTGTCACCTTGACGGGTCGGCCGTTGGGGTTGAGGCAGATGATGCCGTAGCCCTCCTGCACGGCTCGTCGGATGTAAGGAAGCTGTGTACCCTCATCCAGATTCTTATTGATTGCCAGACTGAAAGAGAAAGGGAACGGTGGGTAAAGGGAGGAGGCGGTGTATAAGGGGATAGGGGCGAGGTGTCCGACACGTGTTAACATGATAATGACGTTGCCGACTCGTTGTTTTGATTCTGTCCATTCTTCGACCCATGACTTTTCCTGCTCCCTCCTACGTCTTCGTCTCGTCTACGCTCCCCCTCACATGTCTTCTTACCCATGACTTGATATCTCATTTCGATTAAAGGTTGAGATCCCATTTCGATTAAAGATTGATATCTCATTTCGATTAAAGGTTGATATCCCATTTCGATTAAAGATTGATATCTCATTTCGATTAAAGGTTGATATCTCATTTCGATTAAAGGTTGATATCTCATTTCGATTAAAGGTTGATATCTCATTTCGATTAAAGGTTGATATCTCATTTCGATTAAAGGTGAGAAATTACTTTCGTAAGTCACACCCCCTACACCTGTCTGTAACACCTCTGTGCGCGGGCTCACACTTGAACAACCACTATAGGCGTTCATTCGAGTAATGATATCTGCACGATTAACAAATCTATATAACAAAGACCACCACCAACACGCAGCCAACATAAAAAAAGGCTACCAGCATGAACTAATATAGCAACACGCACGCAGCATAAACTCTGGCCGCCCGTATTGAATTTTATAGCCACGTTTCCACAACACTGACAACAGTATACACACCAAATGTACTCTCCGGGAACTTGCACTGACAAGCTAATTTCACTCGGAATCGACATTAGAATCGACAGTACGCACACGTAAGGTGGCGGAGATTCCACCGTGCAGCCCCAAGATTCATTCACACACGCACGCCACAGCCCCGGGGGCAATGATACAGGAACCACAGATCTACAGTTCCTCAACCGTCAACAGTCAATCTTCACCGCGATAGGTGTACGTAGCAGGTAGCAGGGATAATAAATGACGCACCCAACACTCCTACCAGCCGTTCCCGTCAGGACACGTATTACGACGAACTATAATAACCTCATAAAAATCTACCTCATAACCTCATAAATATTCGTCCTAGTCCTAGGGACAATAACGAAGACGGAGAGAGAAGCGGATCAAATCGATAGATAAACACTGCGGATTGCAGTGGAAAATGTTGCAATTTTGCAATTTACCAATGGTGAAGGAACAGAATTCCAATACGTAATGACAGAAAATTAATCGAACCATCTTGTTGCTACATAACATCAGGACTGTCATAATATAGAGTAGTATAAGATATATATATATATGGTGTCTATATTATGACACCCCTGGTAATATATTTTCTGCAATTTGTTTTACTAGTGTTGATGGAGACGTGAGACAGCGGCGTTTAACTGCGGTGCTAGAGAGTGTTCTTTGGCGGTTGCGTCTTAATCAGGCCCAACCCAGATCTCACAAAGGTTTTACAACACTCGTGCGAGTCGGTGAAAAATTCCCTCCGATCTAATAATTCGCGCCCTTCACATTTCTATTATTATTATTATTATATTATAAAAGACGCTAAAGATATGTGACCCTATGTGGCAGCTTTCTTCTCTCCTCCCCTTTCCCCTCACCTCCTCCCCCTCACACGTCTTCTCTCTTTCCCTTCCCCCTAACACATCTTCTTCCTCCTCACCTCCTCCCCCTCACACGTCTTCTCTCCTCCCCTTTCCCCTCCCCTCCTCCCCCTCACACGTCTTCTCTCCTCCCCTTCCCCCTAACACATCTTCTTCCCTCCTCACCTCCTCGCCCACATGCCCGGTAGGACCTGCCCGCTCCCCGGAATGATGAGCAGCAGCTTGTGTTTCGTCATGGCGTCGCGCGACGCGTAGACGTACGACGCTCGCTCGTCCCTCTTCCCGTCGATCTGGCAAATCAGAAGTCGAACGCACGTCAGATGCATAGACGCGACGTTCCTGACATTCAACATACGCCAGAAGACGGATAGACGCGACGCGAACCACACTTCTTTGCGGTGTTTCGTCGCCGTGGTTAAACTGGTATGAAACAAGCTAATACGTAACAACTTAGGAAAAGTTACATTTAATTCATCATCATGATAAGTCATCCACCCATTATCAACTTATCTATTTTTAATCTCTCTACATGCATGATGCATTAAAATACAAAAGCGATAACGGCTTACCGGAATAACCAATCTGGTGAAATTAAACTCATCCTCCAGTAACTTCTGCACATACTCTGCAACCAGCTGTGATACGATAAACAACAGAATTACGACCATGATAAAACGCTCAATAAAGTCACCTTACTAAGTTTCAGTAATAATCTCATCATTATTAGTTCAAATAACAATTATTAATTAACAATTATACGTTCCAAATCGGCACTGTTTTATTACACGTAGTATTGTTTATTATTATTATTATTAATTACTATTATTAATAGGTATTTATTAGCTACTGATAACATCCATGTACATAACCGTATGTCCAGTTCATAACCCTCTTATGCTTATGTCCAGTACATAACCGTATGTTCAGTACATAACCGTATGTTCAGTACATAACCGTATGTTCAGTACATAACAGTATGCCCACTAAACCACTGTATGTGTAGTACATAACCGTATATCCGGTACATAATTAACCGTATGTCCAGTACATAATCTGCTATCCACTACACAACCGTGTCAAGAACACACACACACACACACACACACACACACACACACACACACACAC